GTCGCCAGCTCATTGCTGAGCTGCTCAGCCTGGGAGGCGAGGATGCAAGCCATGAAGTGGAAAGCACAGGAGCCAGGAGGGCATGGCCCTTTACCTGCCATTTCCAGCATAGGTTGGTCTGCACATGAGTCCTTGGGCCAAGGCACCCGCCCTCCTATTTCTACTTTATCCAGCCAACTACTGGGAAGCCTAAGACGACTCAGCTCATGAGCCACCCCTCCTAGAAATGTCTCCTGCCAGTGAGGCTGAGTAGGGGTCTGTCCTGTGTCCATCCTAGACTGTGAAGGCTTCACCTCACACAGTTGTCCCCACGGGCATTGTGGCAGACGCTCTGTAATACTGTTACCTGGCAGTGCCACCGAGAGCTCATTGGCATGGGCGGTGCTTGGGACTGGGGAAGGAGCAGTGAAGGGGAAAGAATGCCAGACCCCTTCTTCAGAGGCCCAGCATCTTGTGAAAGAGCCAGACAAGTGCTGGCCAACAGAGACGACCCTGCAGGCTGGTGCAGGCTGTCCTGAAGATGTAGGCAGGACACTCCTGGAGGCAGGGATGAAGGGGCCCGGGACCCTACTGTCTTGTTTCACCCCTGCACCCTGCATCATTGGCACACGGCAGGCCTATGATGTATGTCACTAAGCCAGTGCAGGACTTTGGACCGACACCCTGTTCAGGAGAGATCCAAGGCACGTGCTCCTTGGCACAGGGACCACGGCCTGGTGGTCTTGCCCTGCTGCAGTCTTGTGTCCCCTTGTGTGACCTGAGTACAGGGGCCACGTGCCTGACAGTGTGCCCCACTGAGAGCAGGAAGCAGCCACCCGAAGCTAAATAGGGGTAGAAAAAGTACAAAAATGTCACTTGACCTGACCCTCCTACGCCCTGCTTCCTGGAGCCTTCTGTGCTGACTTACGTGGCCTGGGAGCACCCCCTCTCATCTGTTCCCTGTTCTTGAGCTCAGGATGTCACACACCTGCTGCGTGGCCTTGCGGACCCGGTCGCTCATGGCCTCCATGTTGCCCTGCTCTTCCTCCAGCTCCTCCTCCAGCTGGGCGATTCGGGCCTCCAGGCGGCGCTTCTCATCTTGCAGTGTGTTCCTGTGGAGACACAGTCACCTTGGGGGCCTGTACCCTTGCCTGGCTTAGAGGTGCCTCTTGCTGGAGGACTTATGCCTTGGGGCTGCCCTTGTTCTCTAAATGGGGAAACAGGCTCAGAGAAGGTCAGGAGACTCATCCAAGATTGCTGGTTAGAAAGCAGGGAGCCAGGACTTATACTTGGGCCTGTCTCAGCAAAGCCAGGACTGAGATGGGATCAAGACCAGCTCTTCTCTCCTGGGCCTGCACACTACTCATTCAAAATGAACAAAACTGGCCATAGCCCAAAGAGGGTCATGAAAATCCCAGGGGAAAACCCCTCCACCACCATGGTTCTGTCCTGTTGAAGCTCAGAGTACTCGGTCATCCTCAGCATCAGAAGGGGTACAAAGCACTCCTATGAGCTGTCTTCCCTGTGCTCTGCACCCTGTACCTTCCCGACAAGCTGCTGGCCAGCTCCTCAGCCAGCTCCTCCTTCTCCAGGTCGGCCTGCTTGCGTGCCCTCTCAGCTGCTGCCAGATCCTGCAGGAGCAGCAGGGAGGAAAGCTGTCACCTGCTGGGATGGACCCAGCCCCACCCAAGAATCCCCCTGCTCCTGTCACCTGGCCCTCTGCAGTCTCTGTAGCACCTTGAAATGCAAATTTCCGCTCTGGGCTCAGAGAACCCCCCACACACATCTGATGGGGAGATGTGACTCTGCCCACCTGGACTCTGGCTGAGGGGAGGAAATCTGGGTGCACTGGCCTGTGCCCCCAGCAGGCTGTCCTGGCAGGAGGAAGCCTTTACCTCCTGGAGCTGCATGAGGTCGGCCTCCAAGCTCTTGGCTTTCTTCTCATTCTCTTTGGCAGTGGCAAAGATCTCATCTCTGGAGGCACGGGCATCTTCCAGCTCTCTCTGGAAGTCCTTCATCTGAGCCTGAGAGAGTCAACAGAAGGACAAACCAAGATGTCCTTACTCGACTTGGTTCTACTGGCAGACTTACCTCTGCATGCCAGCCCCTCGGTCCTTTTGCTAACCACACAGAGGTCCCTGGTGCATAGCTCTGCCTTGTCTCAGGTAGTTGGGGGCACCGTGCTGCATGGGCATAGCAGAACTAAGAAGCTGAGCCCTTACTATGATCTGAAGGTCACATGCGCGATCGTAGTGTCCCACTCAGGAAGCAGTCACCCAAAGCTGTGTGGGGGTGGAAAGTCACCCGACAACTGGCACCCATGACAAAGGCAGGCTTGCTTCTTGGAGCCTTGCGCACTGACTTTTCTGACCTGGAGAGTGGTCTCCTACCCTCCACCAGAGCCCTGAACCAGGGTGTCACCTACCTGCAGTTTTCGAAGCTGCTTGATGGCTTCCTCCCTCCCCTTGATGGCCGAGTCAGCCTGAAGCTCCAGGTCTTTCAGGTCCCCTTCCAGCTTCTTCTTGGCTGCTGCCGCTAGGGCACGCTGCTTTCGCTCATCCTCCAATTCAGTCTCATATTCGTGAAGCTGAGTGAGGAAGAGATGTGTGCTGCCTGGGACCCCCTGGAGGCCATGGCCCTGCTCCCAGACACTCACAGTCCTTCCCAACACAACTGCCAGCGTGTGGGTTAGTCCTCCGGGTTGCAAATGCACATACATCTTGCATGGAGCCCATAGGCAGAGGTGCAGAAGGGGAATGGGCCTCCTACCTCCCCGCTCCTGCCTTCCCCAACTGTTTACCTGCCGCTGCAGCTGCCGCCTCTTTTCCTCATTCTGCTCATCCCGGGCTTGGAGATCTCGCTCAAACTGGCCCTTGAGTGCCTGCATGTTGACCTCCAGCCGCAGCTTGGCATCTTCAGTGGCCTGCAGCTCATCCTCCAGCTCTTCCAGCTGTGTCTTCATCTCCTCCATCTGGGTCTCTAGGGCCCGCTTGGACTTCTCCAGCTCATGCACCTGGCATGCAGAGCAGGCGGGATCTTTACTGAAGTGAGGCCAGATCCCAGAGGACCAGCAGCAGCTGATCAGGACACAGAAGTGGCCTTGGGCCTCCAGCAGGATGAACAACCAGGGCCTGAGATGGCTCCTGAGAGTTCAGATCCAGCCTCTCTCATCCCCACCCAAGCCTGAAGACCTGCCTTCCAGTCCTGAGGATTGCTCAGTAGGAATGAGGCTGAGCCGGCCCCTCAAACTGACCCCCTGCACAGAGGCTGGCTGGTGAGCAGACAGCAGCAAGGCACTTACGTTCTTGCCCACATCGTCCTTTGAGCTGACCAGGTCTTCCATCTCGGCTTTGAGCATTTTGTTTGTCCTCTCGAGCTCCTCCTTGGCTTCCAGGGCCTCCTCAAGAGCCCTGGCCAGGGACAAGGCCTTGGTTTCCTTCTCCCTGGCTTCTGCCTCAGCTCGGTCCCTCTCATCCGCGTATTTGGAAGAGATGTTCTTCTCCTCAGCTAACAACTGCAACATAACAGAATGTTCAGCCCTTGCATATCCGAGGCTCGGCCTCACTGAACCGCAGATAGGAGGCAGAAGCCATGTGCGCTCCTGCATGTGCTCTGTGCAGCTGGAAGTATTTTAGATGCTTCCAGAAGTCATTTGAAGTCATCGTGCTTTCTCACCTCTGGACCATGCTGGTGATGTTGGTTAGAACACAGAACATCCTGCTGCTAAGGTCGAAATGACATTAAATTCTACTCGAAGTCAGCAGTTCTTTGTTGTGTCGTGGGCACAAGTAGCTGTCCTAAAATGCCTATAAGCCACACGCAGTGGGGAAAGGGGAAGTGTGGATGCACCTGCAAAATTTCTCCCTCGGCTTGAGAAGCAACTCGGAGAACATTTCATCCTGAAGTTCATCTTGTCTTTAGAGCACTAGACAGTGTGTTCTAGATTGCAGTACCCAAAACCACACTTCCAGGATTTAGCGAAGACCAGTCAGTAATAGGAACCTCCAAAACAGCACAATCACCACAAAAACCCCATGCTGTATGTGTGAGGGAAAGAATAAAAGCAGCCTCAGACCTCCGTGGGTTGTGAAGCAGTGGGGAGAAGCAGACAGCCCAGGGAGGGAGACGGCTGGGAAAGGGAAGAATTGGGGTATCTGGAGCCCAGCATGCTGAGGCCAGGAGGAGCCGAAAACCACCTGTGCCTCTGCTTTCGACCTCAGATACAACCTAAACTTGATTTTTAGAGTAACTCTGAGTCACTTATGAACCAAATGGGCAATACCTATTACAAGTTAGTATTTGGGATTCGGGGAATACAGTTGTGTGCATTTATCAGAACTGTGAGCAAACACTTAGGACGTGTGCATTTTATCGTATGTAAATTTTACCTCAAAAGAAGCAGTTATTTTTTTTTTAAATGAACTCAACTTAACAAGCAATATTGAGGTGTTAAGGCAGAAATCTACAAATGCCCGTAATTTGCTTTGAAGAAAAAAGCACAATTGACAGATAGAATTTGTATGTGATAAAGTGTACATAGTAAAAGGTTAGTGGTTGAATCTAGGTGGTGGTGCTACAGGTGTTCACTGTGTTCTTCCCATGTGGTGTGCGAAAGTTTACGTGATGAAATGTTAGGGGAAAGCAGGAGGAAAGAGCATAAGCTTTGAATTACTAGGGAAACTCAGTAGTGTTCCATGAAGACTCACTGAGTGAACAAAATAAATGAGCCTCACTCCCTATCAAGGCTGGAAACTGACATCACTGTGTGCGTGGATGGCCCTCCTGGTGCCAGTACCTAGAAAAGTCACAGTCATCAAGGCTTCTACACATGTCCCTACTCTGTCTAGTAGCCCTCATGTGATCTGATCTCAACAGCCTTCTACCGCCCCCAGGAAAGTGGGCATGGGATGCAGATACCCAGCTGTCACCCCCCCATGCAGTCCTGAGGCCCCAGTGTCTGAGGACAGAGTGGCACACACTTCCATCCCTACCTGATCAAACTTCTTCTGCTTCTTCTCCAGGTTGGACACCAGTTGCCGCTGGTTGTCCAAATCAACGACCAGGTCATCCAGCTCCTGTTGAAGCCTGTTCTTGGTCTTTTCCAGTTTGTCATAAGCAGCTGCCTTCTCCTCATACTGCTGAGTAAGGCCCTCAATTTCCTTCTGGAACCTCTTCTTCCCTTCCTCCATGGCTTCCACGGTGCTGGTCAAGTCCTGTAGTTTCTTCTTCGAGTCAGAGAGCTGAAAGTAGTGGCCAGGATCGGGTGAGAAGAGGGCCCTAAGCAACCCCTAACCTTTGTGCACCGGACCGTTCTTCTCACTGAAGAATCCAGCAGCAGGGGCGCTGGTGAGCCAAGCAGCATGCACCACTGCTCAACCACAAACAACATGCTACGCCCAGAGGAGGAGAGGACCCGTGACCTGGGCAGACACACGGCAGGCACCTGGATATTGAGGGTGGAGATGTGGCGCTCTAGGTTCTGCTTGGCCTCCATCTCCTCATCCAGTTGGTCCTGCAGGCTGTTCCTCTCATCCTCCAGCTGGCGCAGCTTGGTGGACACATTTAGCTTCTGCCGGGTTTCTTCTTGGAGCAGCTCCTACGAAGAGCAAACACAGAGGAGGGTCGCACCCAGAGGAAGGTCACACTGCAGGCCCCCCTGGCTGACATGGCACCATACCCACCTGGGTGTCCTGGAGCTGGGACCCAAGAGATGCCACATCCTTGGCCAGTTTGATGGCTTTGCCCTCTGCCTCGTTGAGCATGCCTGTGACGCTCTCCACTTCGTTCTGAGGGTGCCAAGACACCAGTTAGTCGAAACTTCTACAGCAGCATCCTCATTAAGCAAGAGGAGCCCTTTTTACTCAAAGCACATCGTGTACCTTGTGGGATAGGGCTTGTGAGATCCGGAGACTGAGAAAATGCCCATGTGCTATGGGGAATTCTGTGGCCCTCAGGGAAACCCATCACCTACCAGCTAGGTTTCCTTGCCCAAGAACCTGTTAGAGACCCAAACTGTATTGACTGGACCCTGATCCCGTGACCTGGATTCTGGATCCCTGCCAAGGCTGGCAAAGATGACACAGGTCTGACAGTCCACACACTGAGAGCCCCTCTGCCTTCTACTCCTACCCCTGGTGTCTCTAAGAAGGCTCTCTGAAGCTGTCAGCCTGCCACCCTTCTCTTCTGTTCCCATGGAGGATGTAAATGACCTTGACTCTGCTCTTCCAGGACACAGCTTATAGTAAGGGAGCGAAATCCCTACACTCGACTGCAGGTGGGGGAAAAAAATCATAATCTTCCCCCTGCCCCAAGCTGTAAGCACATTAAATACAGATCAAACTTCTGGCCATTTCCCACGAATGAAAATTCAGGCTAATTGTATCTTCAAAGCTAAAGACCAAAGATGAACACATTATGCCATTCATCAGCTTAAAACCCTTAGGTGGTTTCAGAGGAAAGCCAAGCAAACATCTAACGGCCTCAAAGGCCCTGTGGTATCTGGCCACAGCTCACCTCTCCAGTCCCGCCCTGTACACATTTCTCCTCCCAGCTCAGCACTGCAGCTCTCCTGGCTTTCTGGACTCCTAATTGTCCCATTTACCTCTAGGACCTTTGCACATGCTGTCCCCTCTGCCTGGCTGACTCACGGTCCAATTTTAGTCCTCCTGAAGGAAGCCTTTTCTGAACCCTCTCCTAACACAACCTTCCAGTGTAATTTATGTTCATGTGTGGTTAATGTCTCCTCCAGCCTCCTGGGCTGGAGTTCTCCTGGGATAATATCTGTCTTCTTTCTTGCTGTTGCATCTCAGGATTAAGCACAGTGGCTGGCATACAGCAGGTGCTTAATAAATATTTTCAGTGGATGATGGTTTTGAAAACAGTAAGCTGAGCAGGAAAGCGTGTAACTAGAAGAAGCCTCCCTGTCTGGTGGCCTGTGAAACCTCAGTTGGTGGCAAGGGTCCTCCTCCTACAGAGCAGGCAGTCCCAGGAGGTAACCATGCTGCCCCTCACCTGCAGCTTGTGGACCTTGTCATTGAGCTCGGCCCGGACCCGCTCGCCATCACTGCACTTGGACTGCAGCTCCTGCAGCTGCACCTCCAGCTTCTTCTTTTTGTGCTCCACCTCCTGCTTCGCCTGGCCCAGGACCCGCAGCTCCCCGGCCAGCTCTGCGTTCTCCTTCTCCAGCGTCTGCTTGCTCTTGTCCAGGTTCGCCTTGGCCTGGCCAAGTGAGCAAGGGAGCAGGTGAGAGTGTGTTTGCAGCAGGGCCAGTGCCACCCAAGCATCCTCCTCTTTCCCTTGCCCTCCCTCAGGTAGGTCCCTGGGACAGTGCTCCTTGCCACAGGGAGGGATGTGACAATAAGACTTTTGGGATTCTGTTTTCCCAAGCCCAGGGTTGCAAACTGGCATTCCACCAGCTGCGTCCCTCCCATCTGCTGTCATCCCCCATTTGACCCATTCAGTACTTTTTAAAAAAGTAATATTGCCAATATTTTAATAAATTTCACATAAAAGTCAGGACTCAGCTTCTCTTTTTAAAATGCTAATGTTCTATATCATAACTAGTGGTGGTTACACAGCTACGCGTTTGTCAAAATTCATTGAACTGCATGCTTAAAATTGATGAATATAACTGCACATACCTCAATAATTCTGACTTTCAAAAAGCAAACTAAACATCTAGAAACAGGAATCTTGCCTTCCTCCAAGGCAACAATCAGCTGGATCTAAGCATGGCTGGCCCAGTAGCGGGCGTGGCAGTGCTGTATTTGGCTCCAGTGCCCACCACTCCCTATTGTCTTCCACATTTGTCAGCAGATTTACAGTTTCTGTGATGCATCTAACCAGCTCCTACAGGCACATGAGTTGCTTTAAGGAAAAAAGTGGAGCAAACACAGAAAGGAGAAGGGGGCTTCTCATAGAGCTGGAGGGAGGAGGAGGAAAGCCAGCGAGAAGTGTGTGGGTCCTGAGAGCAGAGGCAAACTGCTCAGTTCTGACAGCTCACTGCGGGCACTGGGCAGCACCCAGGCAGCCAGAGGACATTGCTCTGCCTGGCAGTGAGTGGGAGCTGCTGGGAAAAGGTGACTCTTAGGATTAATAGTACAGAGTGACAGGCAAGGGCCTTGGAGGACCTAGTATCCCCCAAAACCCTTGCCTAGCCCGAGACTCCAGAACGGTGGCAAACTGCATGTGCATAAGAGGGGCCCAGGCAGGACTGTTGTTAGAAGGTCCCCCAACAAGTTTAAGGGCCCAGGGCTCCCAGCCAGACCTGAGCTTGTGAGAGCCCAAGTGTCTTCTGTTCCCTGAGCCTATGCTGGGCAGCGGTTCTCAGCCTCTATCTGCTCCCTGCATGTGAGGAAGGGACCTGCTCTCTGCAGGTAGTCTTGACAGGAGAGTTCTTCCAAAGAAGCCTGGCTACAAATGCGGGGTGACTTCAGGTTCCTGCTTGTATGAGTGACATCCAGCTGGGGGTGTCAGCTCCCCAGTATCAGGCCCAGTCTTCCCACAGGAAAGGGAAAAGGAACAGGTATGCTTCAATATTGCCCTGGGGACTAAATGTTTCAGTAGGTGGGAACATCCCAGTTGGGTTCAAATCATATAAAAGTTAAATAAACAAAAAACCCCACTTTGGAATGTAGAAAAAGGAAGTCATTTGAAAACAGAAATGTATGTCATAAATGTAACAAAGTATTTTTTTGCAAAATATGTACAGAATCAACAGAATGCGTAAAGCTAGTATTCAGAGGCCACATGACAAGTAATGAGAGGACCTGAGGACCCTGAGCCAGTGTCCATTTGTTCATTTGGAGGTGAAGCCAAGCTTGGGCTTGGGTAGCACTTTTCAAAGGGTGGTCCCAAGACCCCTCCTCATCAGGATGAGGCAGAGATTGCACTTGAGCAAAGGCCACAGAGGAGAGTAAATGCGTGTGTCTGTGACTCAGGACAGTACCTGGCACATGATAAGTGTGACTACACAAAGTGTGACCACATTACATTACATTATTGTAATGTAAAGGCGAGATTCCAGCAGAGTGGGAGTAGGCAGCTCAAGGAGCCACCTCAGGGAAGAATGTTCACCTGAACGGGTGATGGGAACAACTGCAAACTCGCAACAACTTTCAGGTGATTCTGCACCTGTTTAACCCAGCTGAGTCACAACCCCACACTGAAGGGGAGGTGGTGGCAGAGGTGGGATTCGGAATTTCTGGAAACAATCAGGGAGGAGGTCACACGCTGAAAACCCACCCTTGGAGATGAAGTATAAGGAAATCTAACAGGACAGAAGAATCCCCCACACAAGGGGTAATTTTACACAGAGTGCCACCGCCATTTAGCAGCTCAAACCCATGCACCCCAAATGGCCCAGCAGAAAGAGGACAATTAGGTCTCGCCACTCAGCTATGCCAGAGAGAGCTGTTTTGCTACTGAAGTCAAATGGCAGTTTTCCTCCAATCTTCAGAGAACGTTCACAATTTTAAGTTAAATCTCCCACTTTTCTTAGATCTTTGCTTCCTCCACGGGTGTACTAGAGACCCTTCCCTGTAGCAGCCGGAGGGAGGGAAGGAGGTCTGCAGCCAGTGTGTTGGGTCACTGCTCCGTCACTCCCTAGCTGTGTAACCTTGGGAAATCTCCTGACCTTCAGGCACTGTGGATCTCAGTGTCTTCATGTGTAACTTGGGTTAATGGTACTGCCATAGCCTGAACCTTCACTGTCCCTGCAGGCTGATGTGTATGTATATGGCTTGGCCCCCAGGATATTAAGAGGCAGAGGCTTAGGCAAGGTTTTAGGTCCTGGGGGTGTGACCTTGATGGGACACTAGCTGCCCTGTGGCTCCCACTGGCTGCAAGGCGAGTGGCTTTGTTCCACAACAGGCTCCCACCATGATGCACTGCCTTGCCGCAGGCCTAAATTCAGCAGACCGGCTGCTCATCAGAACCAGGAGCCAAAACAATCTCAGTCACCCCGTCCCTTTCTCTGGCAGTGCAGAGGACTGCAACCAGGGCCTGTGCACTGAGACACCTCTCCAACCCTTATCTTATTTTTTGAGATAGGGTCTAGCTAAGTTGCTAAATTGCCCAGTCTGGGCTCGAATTTGTAATCCTCCTGCCTC